GTTTTTAACAATAAATTATTGTTATCTTCCCGTAAAGCACTGATCAGATTATTCACGCGGGCATTCTCATTTCGAAGAGCGACAACCACATTGTATAGAGATCCCAATGTAACTTGTTGCTTATTGGTATTTGTATTATCATTTGAATTACCATTTAGCTTTAAAGAGCCAGCGGGCTTTGATTTCACAGAGTTAGAAGAGTTCGAAGAGATAGATTTGGTGATATTAGAAGTTTTTGAATTTTCCTCCACGACAACCGGCGGAAGAGGCGAACGGAGGGAATCACGACGAGCTTCAGCACAGCCTTTACAAATGAAGCTCTTGTCTGAGCTGANAAGCAGATTGCGCTGCATGGAAAGAAGATCTGAGTGAATGTTTTCAGTTTTTAACAATAAATTATTGTTATCTTCCCGTAAAGCACTGATCAGATTATTCACGCGGGCATTCTCATTTCGAAGAGCGACAACCACATTGTATAGAGATCCCAATGTAACTTGTTGCTTATTGGTATTTGTATTATCATTTGAATTACCATTTAGCTTTAAAGAGCCAGCGGGCTTTGATTTCACAGAGTTAGAAGAGTTCGAAGAGATAGATTTGGTGATATTAGAAGTTTTTGAATTTTCCTCCACGACAACGGGCGGAGGAGGCGAACGGAGGGAATCACGACGAGCTTCAGCACAGCCTTTACAAATGAAGCTCTTGTCTGAGCTGAGCAAAAATTCTGCATCTGCCGGTAGAATACCAACACATTTCGTATGAAAGAGTACATTGCACTTCGCGCACAGCACTGTTGATTGCGTCCTATCAACTTTGTGGCCACATGCGCAAGGCATCATCTAGCTTTAATATAAAATAAATATTAAGGTATAATTTCCTTAGAAAACACAAGAGTCACTGTCTCAATCAATATCGTGTTTTCATCATTGCAAAAAAGCAAATATATAAAAGAGTCAATGTCACAATAGTTAAGCTGATATTATGATTAAAATCGAAGAGCGAAGAAAAACACGTCCACACAGCACGAAACGTTTGCGAATATATATTGATTTGAAGTCAATACAACAACAATAAAAAAACCAGCAGACAAAAATGTAAATTGAGGCAGATGTTACAGTCTCTCAGTTACTCTCAGTTTTGCATTTGACAGTTATCTCTTACTTAGTTGGAAGTCAGATGACTTTTTTCTGTATTGTAATTTATTGAAGAAGTGATCACCAGTAAATAATATAGTTAATCAGGAACCATAAATGTAAATAATAGATTTACTGCGGAAAGGCGGGACCGCACGAAAAGTGGCAAAAAATTGTGAAATTTGCTACTTGAAAATGTTAAGACTGAGAAAATATATAGCGAAAGTGTTCCCAAGGACAAAGGAAGTCTGTCAAAAGACATTACGGTACGATATCTTGTGAACTTAGCAGCAAGTAGCGAAGCAGCCACTATTACAGAAGGGCCTAAGGTATTAAACTTTAACGCAAATCAATAGACCAGCGTTGCCACTTGAAAATATTTTTAGGTACCAAAACGACTACCAAATCAGTTTCCAAACTACCAAAAAATTTTCATCATTAAAACGAGATTTCTCGAGTTTGCGGGGTTTTTAGCTACACAAATTAGCAGTAAAAATTAAAACAACACATAATATTGTTTACGGTATTGGTTAATTATTCACACACAATTAAGATTAAACAAAATAAATTCGGGCCTTTAAATAAAATAATTATGTTATTGTAAAATATGTTAATATCTTTGAGATTGATTCAATTCATATCAAACAATTTTTTTTTGTGTGTGAAAAAAACGAAAGCAGACATTTTATGCATTTCAATAAAAAAATTCCAAATTTGATTCAATTTGCATGCGCTAATTTTTTTTACCAATACATTCACACTTTGCAAATTGCCTATCACCAATTTTTCTTTCAACAGCTAATCGGTCATAGCTTTGGGAAGTGAGCTTTTGTTTGCAGAAAATTGTCTGCTAAATAAAATATAGAAAAAAATAAAGAAATCTTATACGTGTAAGCAAAGTGAAAGCAGTGTTTTGAATGTGCAAACTTAAATTAAGCGAACAAATTTTAATGTTTCATTTGGTTGTATTTTCAAAACATTTTTGCCTACCAAAAGCTTCATTAAACCAACCATGCTACCAACGGAGAATAAAGCTACCAATTTTGGTCCAATTGGACCGAAATGGCAACGCTGCAATAGACAGCGAGGCGAAGAATTGCCAAATTGAGCGCAAAGGCATCATAAAGAAGAAAAAAGCAAATTTGATCAAAATACATGTGCGAGTGTGGCAGCATTTTGCTGCATCGCACGAAAACCGAACCGTTGCCTATTGGGATATGTTAAGCCGTTCAGAATGCAATAAAAAGCATATTTTTAAGTTTCAATTGAAGGTTATTTGGTCTGACAAGACTAAATTAATCGCTTTCAATCAGATGGCCGGGCATGGTATTGGGGCAAAGACCCAAATTAAGCCCATGCGCAGCAAACAGGCAAACTGTTAATAACAGTGGTCGGTCAATAATAGTTTGGGGTTGTATTTCAAAAATTTTCTTGGTCTGTTAGTACACATTATGCGTAAGGAACAGTATCTGTTCATATTTCAACAAAATTTGCAAGATGTAGTCGAAAAAATTAGAGTTTCTGCTGAAAAATCACGCAAAACACATTGCACATATTCGCAAAGACTGGATACAAAAGCAAAAATTTGCTAATTTGAAATGACCTCCACAATCCGCGGGCATGAATCTCATTGAGAATTTGCGAAAATAACTAAAAGCACAGCTTACTAAGTATCCAAGTCCGTAAAATCGAGTACACGAGCAGTGAAAGCAAACTAAGGATATACCTCCAGAATTTTTACAGAGATACAAATAAGGTATGCCAAATCGCATCCAGGAACTGAAACAAGCAAAAGCGTTCTGAACATTGTGTTAGTAGTTCTTTTTTTTCGTGAAAATTGTTAAAAAGTTCTTAAAAAATATAAGTGCAAAACTGTAACATCTGCCTTAATTTACATTTTTGGCTGCTGGTTTGTTTATTGTTGTTGTATTGACCNGTGTTAGTAGTTCTTTTTTTTCGTGAAAATTGTTAAAAAGTTCTTAAAAAATATAAGTGCAAAACTGTAACATCTGCCTTAATTTACATTTTTGGCTGCTGGTTTGTTTATTGTTGTTGTATTGACCTCAAATCGTTATGAGAGAGGGAGTAGGGATGTACCAACAAGAATATACAACAAAAGTATGAAAGTCGTTAGAACTTGGAGAGATAGCGATTGCTGAAGTAAAAAGTGTTAAACCATGTTACAGTTTTGCCCGTCACTGTATATATAAAAATGGATTGCTTTCCTGTGTTATCGCATCATTCAAGAACGGCTCACCGAATTTGCTTCGTTTTTATTTCATTTTGTGTCTTTCTGTCTGTAGAATGAACGTAAAGAAAAATTTGGAAAACCGGTGTTGCCACATATTTAAAATATCAAAAAAAATAACTTACAAAAGCCGCAATAATGTACTTTACTGAGAATATATAAACAAATTTAATACAAAAAAAAATTTTGAATAGGGTTGCCACACTCGAAAAAAACTTTACATATAAAAATGAATTACTGTTCGTGTGTTATCGCATAACTCAAGAACGGCTCAACAGATTTGCTTCGTTTTTATTTCATTTTGTTTCTCTCTGTCTGTAGAAGATTTGTAAAGAAAAAATTGAAAACCCGTTGCTGCCAGAAATAAAAAAAATGAAATTTAAAAAAGCCGCAATAATTATATTTTACTGAGAATGCATAAAAAATTTAATTTAGAAAAAAAAATTGGATAGGGTTGCCACCATTCAATAAAATCTTTATATATGAAGATGTATTGCTGTATCAAAAAATATTTAATTTAAATTAATGTAGGAAAACATTTAGAACAGAAAATAATTTGCATAGGGTTGCCACCATTCGAAAAAAATCTCTCCGTTACGTTTGTGGTCAACTTCTCCGAAATCGCTTGACCAATTTGTATGACATTTTTTGTGTATATGTATTTGGAAATATACTACTCGCTTGCTGGTAGCTTGGTAGGTAGACAAGCTTGCTGGAGCTTGGTAGGGATATATATGAAATCAATCGCATACTCTTGGAGAAAAATTGGCGCTATTAGAAAAGGGGGCGTGGCACCTCCAATACGAAATTAATCGCATACTCAAAAAAAAAATTGATGATATTGGAAAAGGGTCATGGCACCTCTCATACAAATCGAGTTTTTCATACTGCATATTTCTGGATGTGTTCATTGTAGTCAAGTACTCAACTCTACTCAAATAAACCGAATTTTTCATACTGCACATCTCTGGAAGTGTTCATGGTTGATTACTCGAACATTTATACAGTATAGGGATACGGTTGCCAGACGTACTGATTTTATCAGACAGTACTGATTTTTCAACTCTTGTACTGATTTTATTCATTTCTTCAATCAGTACGCTAATGTCCTGATTTTTGAAAATTTGTACTGATTGGTACTGAATTTTCTATTCAAACAAAATACTATAGTATTTTCTTAAGGTTTTTACATAACGTTGCAACTTCCTTAAACTGTACTGTAAAAAATAAGAAGAATATAATTTAATTATAGTTGACATGTTTTCGATAAAGTTTGATATGCCCAAGAAATTAATACAACAAAAATATCAATCGTTTTATGGGCATATCGCCGGGTCGTTACGTACCAGTTGCGATAATATGATGGAGCTTAAATTATTTAAAAAGAATGCTTAAATTTTTGTCGAGTGTTGTTAGTTACCTCGAAAATAGCTTTCAGTTTAATAACAATAAATTTCAATATTCGAATGGCTTTTGCCTATAACTTACAACTTCTTTTTCTCAATTTACTGACTCTGTAAAAGAGTTTTGCATACAAGGCATAGAATTAGATACTCTTTTTAGCGAATTCTTAGTCCTTGCGTAGTTGAAAAATTATTTAAGCCATGAGGAAATATAGATGAACTCCTTAAAAAGTGGTACTTTTTTTACAGTATGAGAGGATCTTAAGAATAAAGTTTGTTTCCTGGCGCAAAGAGAGAAACCGGCTCCTAATTAAAATTTTTTAAAGTGAACTTCAAATTAAAAGTAATTTTAAAATGAAATGTATAGAATTCGTTGACTATTTAAACGCTGAAAATGGGAATGATCTCATTATTGCTATTCAAAAATGTCATAAATATAAAATAATTTATTGGGTCCTGTGTACGATGATGTGTACACTCATGTTAAAATGAATAACATTTTTATATTTTATGAACTACTAGTGAACCCGTATGGCGTTTTTGTTTAAATTTTTTTTTTTATAAAAAGAGGTATTTTTTCCTTTTAAATGTTTCTTCTCCGATTTATACATACGAAGTATACAAATTGCATATCAAAAGAAAGCGGGTTTAATCACGATTACGATATTATTTTTTTTAAAATCAGTTCAAACTTGTTTGAAATATAAGGTTTTTAATTTTTCGAAGACCCGACCTTTGACCCCTTTATAGCATCTGGAACATAGAAAAAGTTATATATCGTTTAAATAAGAGAAAAGGGCGTACCATGACTATGTTTTTACTTTTTTTAGTAGTTTACATACAGTAATTAAAAATAATTTTTTACCAAAGGTCTAATTTCGAACTTCGAAGGCCCATATCGCGATTTCGGAGGCTAACTTCGAAAACGGAGAAATTACTTTTATACCTATGACTCAATCTCTTAAAAAAAAATTAGTTTGGTCTAATACCCGGAAAAAAAGTTGATTTTGCAGTACGGTGTTATTGCTATTCAAAAAGTCACAAATATAAAATAAATTATTGGCTCCTGTGAATAATGATGTGTACACTCATGTTAAAATGAATAACACTTTTATTTTTTATGAACTATATTTTATTTATATACCAAAATATTGCTAAAAACAAGAACTCAGGCGTTTTAAATTATTTTCTGTTACTTACATTCATAATTTTGCTTTGAATAA